GGAAAGGGCTTGCTTTCTCTTGTTCCCAGTTAGTACTCATTGTTGGAACAGCATAACTGGGTTTTGTTGGAAGATGTCTGGAAGGCAGTGTTATAGTGAATCCTCTTGAGTCAGAAGCAAGCAGGGAAGAGTCTGCAGCAGCAGATCATAGGTCCCTGGTGAGTCCCTGGTGAATTAGGTTTGTAAGGATATGTAGAAGTCTTGCACTGAACATTCAAGAAGTTTATCTTGCAGGTTTATCAAGACAACAGTGCTAAATGCTCTAATGTCAGTGAAAGGAAACTTAGTCAGTTTCCCTCCTTCCTTGAAGGGAGCAACATACTAGAAGAATCCAAATGAACTTGATAATTTTAGTCCTGTTAAGCAAGTATAAGCTCATGTCAGAACTGTGAGCTATTCTTCATTCCTCCAGTTACTCTAGAGATACTGTTAAGGGTATGATCAGAAGTTTTCTTTGTACAGTGGTGTTTCATAGGTCTCTGCTCTCCCTTAATCAGTATTTGGAGCTCTAGTGATCTGGAGATTTGGGTCCTTATCTTTCTAATATCGCTGTCTGCTTGTGAGAAGTACTTACTGCTAGATGGTTGCTCGTTAGGACTAGGGACAAGAGCACTTTCACATTTTAAAAAGATGAGATGAGGATAAATACCATGTTCTCAGCACCCAACTGGTGTGGAATTGAGTGTATAGGCAAGAGACTGCTAGAAAGGTAATGTGGCCTACCGAGTGAGAGGCATGATAAATTCCAATTCCAAATATGGTTTTGTAGGGGAAAAAAAAAATTGCCTAAAAGAATCTTATCTAGCGCTGCCACTCAGGAAGTGAAAATACTTTTTATTCTTCAGAACTACTTAGAAAAACTGACTGCATTCAAATCCATCTGGATGGATAGGATTTAAGCTAGGGTGCTGAAAGACATGTGTGACCTAAATGCAATGCAGTTCTTAATGAAAAAAGATGGCAGAGAGTTCTCTGAAGATTATAAATTGAGTGAAACGATACCCTTATTTAAGAAGAGTAAGATGGAGAATCCAGGCAGCTATAGGACAGTCAGCCTTACCAAAATCCATGGAAATATAATGAATTGTATCTGCAGGGAATTTCCTTCCAAATATGTGAAGGATGAGAATGTACATCTGGGTTAGCTGTTCCCAGTCGCCGAGGGCAAGTCATGTTTGACCAACTTGAGCACCTTTTACAATGAAATGAGTGGATGTCAGTGGATATAGCATTTCCTGACTGACTTAAGCAAGGTGTTTATTATAATTTTCCTCTTGATAGGACAAGAAGGAATGCCCTCATGTTGCTCCAGGGGAGGTTCAGGTTGGAAAATGAGAAATTTCTTCTCAGAAAGAGGAGTTAAGCATTGGAATGAGTTGCCCGGGGAGATGGTGGAGTCACTGTTCCTGAGGGTGTTTAAGGAAACGTTGGACATGGTGCTTAGAGATGTGGTTTAGTGGGTGATATTGGTGTAGGGTGATGGTTGGACCAGATGATCTTGGATGTCTTTTCCAACCTTAATGATTCTATGATCTCTCACTTAAGAAGTTTTGGAAGCGTGGGTTGGAGGGTATAGATTGTTAAATGTACTGAAAAATGACTGGATATCTGCATTCCAAGCCATCACTAGCTCAGTGTCTCATTAGAGATAAATAAGAAGTGGCCTGTGAGAGACTGGACCAGTAGCGTTATCTCTAGCAATTACCTAAATGGTGAGAAAGAATATACCCTGAGAAAATTTTTAGTTCCAATTACACTGGTAGAAATTCAATTCAGCTAGACTGTGAGAGACCTGAGCTGACTGAAATCCCATGAAGGGCAAGTGTCAGGCAGATGAAGCCAGGCTCTTCTTGGTAACATCCAATGATAGGACAAGGGGCAATGGGTGCAAGCTGGAACATAGGAAGTTCCACTTAAATATGAAGCAAAACTTCTCTAAAGTAAGGGTGACAGAACACTGGAACAGGCTGCCAGGGGGGTTGTGGAGTCCCCTTCTCTGGAGACTTTCAAAACCCTCCTGAATGCATTCCTGTGTGATGTGATTTAGGTGTTCCTGCTCTGGCAGGGGGATTAGACTAGATCTTTCAAGGTCCCTTCTAATCCCAAACATTCTGTAATTCTTTGAAGAGTAACTGTGAAATTCTGTGCTTGTGCAGATTAACCCATGCAACAGTACTGACTGGGGAATAGCTGTCTAAATAGAACATCTATAGGGAAAGTAATGGGATGTTATGGCAGCTACCAAGGTGAAAATGAACTGATGATGTGCTTTCATTGTAAATAAAGCAAACAGCAAAGTAGTCTACATTGGAAGTATGGTCAACAGATCAAGGGAAGTTATCACCCCCCTCAGCATTGCTGCTTACTGTGATTCTGCAGTCAGTTTTCAGGCTTCTCAAATTAGAAGGGGGATGTCTAAAAAGTAGAGAGAGGGTACAACAAAGGACTACTGAGGTGATGGAGCTGTTGGACCCACGTGAACAAGCTGCAATGTCTGTGGAGCCAAACTCAGTAGTAATAATAAGGGGGAAACAGCTACAAGTTACAGTTGAGAAGTTCAGGCTGGCAGTTTGGTAAAAGCTTCTAACCAGGGAGTAGTGTAGGAGTTTTAGCATATCTCCTAGGAAAGTTGTGGAATCTCTTGGAGGTTTTCAAGACTTGACTGGCCTAAGCTGTGGATTACCTGATCTAGTATTGGGGACAGTTCCTCTTCAAGAAAAAAGTTGGGCTAGGTGATCTCCAGAGGTCCCTTCCAGCTAGCTGTTATGTTTCAAACTACAAAGAGGTCTGATCAAGTTATGTCTTCTTTATGTTTTGTAGTTATGTAGTCTGTCCAGAGCAGCAGGACCATGCAATGTGGAAGAGGAATTATGTGAGTTTGTGACATTTGTCTGTAGTGGTAGGCATGGAATGATGACCAATGAAAGCTCCTCTTCTAAAAAGACTTCCTTCCTATTATCAGCTTGAATTTCATCTGTGCTCAAGACTTCCTTAACTCCGTATAATGTGTTTTTATTTTCCTTAACTATTTTCAAATTTTATGCTCTTTTGACTTTGGGGAGAAAAAAAAAAGGACTATAGGAATCTAAAACTTTTATTTCAGTTGAGTTAAGGTTACTTATCGAGAATTACATCTACTTTTAATTATTTATTCTCTCTTCCTAAGTGTGCTAGGAGCTGTGAGCTGTAGAAATGTATAGAAATTTGTTGTCTGAACTTGTCAAAAATAAGATGGGGATAGAGAGACAAGATAAAATCAGCTCTCAGGAATATAATATACTTGTTTTCAAAAAACAGTGTTCATGATATCTGTTTTGTTTTCAATTTAATTGTTTCATTTTAAATCTGACTGTGAGAGCTGTAATGTTTCAGTGGAGAACCCAACTTGTGGAAAGGGATAAAGGGAAAAAATAACTAAAAGCCAGGATAAATGGGAGTAAAATATTATCAGTAATCTGAGGTAGGAGTGGAGACAGACAGAATGGGGTCAATCCTTTCACAAGAAAGAAAGGAACACCCAAAGTTTCAGTTCCCAAACCCACAGCTGAAGTCCCAGTTCAAGAATGCAGTAGGTGGCAATGTCAGAGAGTACACCCTGGGTACCAGTCCTCCCATGGGACTGTTTGGGAAAGATTTTGCACTCATGTTGGTTGTCCTTTGTGGATCCCTTTCTGAGTTCCAGATTAACCCAGTTGCATTATCAATGCCAGTTGCATTGGTGTTATGCAAATGTGGCTATATTACTTCAGGCCTGATTCTAGTCCCAAACCAGTTTTATTTCTTTCACGTAATGACTGAACCAAGAAATTCTGCAGCCCTGAAATTGCTAGGAGATAAACCAGTTTGAGATCTTGCGTAGGTTGTTATGATTGCATAGAGAATGGGATTAAAAGAAATAAATACTCTGAATCCAGGAGGGGACAGTTTAGGAAAGCATGGATTTGACCTCTTGACTTCAGATGATGTAAGTGGATCCAGGGAACAACACTGAAGTAACTAAAACAAAACCTTGCTAAACATGTGGTCATGCTCTTTCATTTCCTTGTTCAGTGTGTTTCTGTGAAATACTTTTTTTCCAAGCTGTGCCTGTTTGATTAAAATAGGTATTGCTATTGATTTAGTACACCCTTTTCTGCTAGAGATCTATGCCATAAAAAGAGATGATATGCAGAAATAACACACTGAGTAGATGTGGATTTCCTTCCTATGGTTGGTATTGCTATAGCAACACTTCCCTCCAAACCATGATTGTAATTACAAAAGTTGCCACTAACAGTTTGTGGTAAATTTTATCTGTATTTATCAAGAAATAGAATGCCCTAATGTCAAATAAAATAAATACTCAATTTTATATTAATTCCCCACACAAACCTCAATTTTGTTTGTTTCAACAAAACCATTTTACTTTTAGGAAATTTATCAATTTGGTGAAGTTGTTGCTAGGTGTGACCAGAATTTTTTCACTGTCAGCATTTAATATGCTTATAGCATTTTAGCTTAAGCATCATGACTTGCTTGTAGCTGTTTTGCTGGTAAGATTCTTGGTAAGTGTCTATACCTCTGCTGGATAAATTTTCACAAGAGGCTACCTAGTCTGGATCTCTGAGGAGACAAATTTGGAAACAAAAAAAAAAAAAGAAATAATTTACATATTGGATATAATGAAAATATATTCTCCATTAAATATGTTCCTGAAAAATATTTATGTAAACTTGCATGTCATTATGTCTGTGTGTATGTTCATATTTGTTTTCAATTCAGAAATAGAAGAAGTGAGTGCAAAGTGTATGCATAGACCTGTGTAAATAGTGAGCATGGGAAGCAAATCAGCGCTGAGAGATTGGACGTCTTTTTCTTGTGGTCTTCACTGGGGCTCTGAGATACATTTTTGAGGCCCAGACAGTGATAACTTTGCTGAGAAATGCCTGTTTTCTTGTGTGTTTCAATAATGCCGTGGCGATATAAATAGAACAACAAAGAATTTCTTACTTGACTTTCAGTTTCAGATTAACTGTGCCACAGAGGCTTGCTGGTCTCTGTGCAGTGCCATGCTGATGCATCTGCTCAACCTTCAGTGCTAGCTCTAGCCCAAAAGCAGTTTTGCAGCTTTCCCCTGAAGTCTGAGCCAGGAGCTTTCTACCAGCTGGAGAGTCTCCACATGGGAAGGTAAAGTATAGATCTCTAGTTGTTTTGTATAGATCCAGGCAAACCAATGCAGTCAGCCTTCAGTGGGACTAGCAAATCCAACCTGCAAAATTCAGGCTCTTCTGTTGTGTGCTGCAGTTTCTGGGGACAATGTTATCTCGGCCATGCTGTAGCTTGGGGAGCTGTATCTGGTAAGTGTCTTTCAGCAGGTCAGAGTTTTGAGCAGCTGTCACCTCAGCAAGCACCAGACTGTTTGGCTGGGTTTGCTAGCTCATCAAGTGTTGCCCCTCCTGCTGTTTGGGTGACTGGACTGTTGCCTACAGCATGCCTGTTATGTATTACCTTGGATACACTGCTTGAAATTTATCTATATTTCACCAGAGCATCAGAATCTGGTGGTTAGACTACCCATAAACACCCAGGCTCCTAGAAAGTAGAATTATATAAATCTGATTCTGATTACAACGCAATATGTTATGCAAAAGCATTTATGAAATTATTTTAAGTCATGGAGGGATGGCACCTAAGGTAGGAGTATAACATGAAATTATGATTTGGCCCACAAGATGAAAGGTTTTTATTATGAAAACAGCTGCAGAAACCCGTTATGGGCTTGGTAGTTCTCTTGTGAATTCCTTGGATGTGATCTGTCTCATCACACCTTGAAGTGGTCTGGCCTGCAAACTCCAGCAGGGTTTGTGGTAACAGTGTGCATGTAGCTTCAATATGAACTGTAACATTGTCTGGATTTATTGCTTCTGTTTGTCTTGTAATACACGGCCTGTTGATTTGGATTATTTTAAATTCCACTTTGGATTTAGACTTTGGACCGATTTTTATTGGAAAGATAAAAGGTTTCCAAGATGTAACATGGATACAGTTTCCTGAAGGGGTAGCATAGTTAAGTAGCAGTGCTTCCGGGTCCCTTGTATCAAAATGACTCTGATATGATCCCACTCCTCCTTTCTTTTTTTGAAGTGCTGTTGAGAACAGTTGTGCAAGCCTCACTTGCTCCTCTCCTGAAATTGCCTGTGCAGAATAGCTCCAGTGATACCTCTCTCTGTCTGGCATCCTGGACCATAAGGAAGAATGAGACTACATTGTTATGTCATAAAAACATGTAGAGAAGTAAAACTGCTTGCATCTCTGGAGAGAAGGAGAATGTGTGCAACGTATGATAGATGCTTTATCATCAAAGAGCATCACATTGCACAGATGTTTTTGAAACCTGAACTTGTTTAAAATAAAGTTGACTGCTGTGTGAGTAGTGGCAGCTCTGTGTGGGTATCTGAGGACATCAGAAACACCAGTTTCTCCAAATCCTGTAGTTAATCTGGTTACAAGTTATCACAGGAGTCAGTGTGAACTTTGCACATATGTATAATAGTCAACTCCATATGTGGAACACTGATCATAATAGAAGTGTTATAAAACCCTAACATGGGATTACGAGGTATAACCCAGTATTTGCAGCCAAAAACTTATGTGCAAAACACACCTAAAAATGGTCTCCAACCACCTAGACCAGCAATCTGTATTTCCTTAACATCCTGTGATGAAATGGAATCACTCTTCATGCTGCTTGTGTAACAGTCTGCAAAAGTGCAGTTGGGCAGTTTGAAGGCAAAACTTTCCTTGTATTTCTTAGTCTGCAGTCATCTTAAATCTCATAATTGAGAAAGAAGCTGGCTTGTTTTGTATATCTGAGTAATTTTAAACTGTTCAGGAAAGGGTGTGTACTGTCCTGCCTGTTAATTGAATAGATTCAATGTGTCAAAACCACCTTGTACTTCCTTCAAATACTAGTAGGTAATAGTTCCACTATTTTGCAATCTAGAAGGAAAATATACTTCATCGCTGGATGAGATTAAGCGATTCAAGCAATAGTTTTCATTAAGGTATTAAACATGTCACTTGTAGCTGATAAGGGTTTCTTAACATCTTTGATGTAGAAAATGAAACATTTTCAAAAAAGTGTTTAAAATGCCATGTAAGGGAACTGGGCAATAAACAGTCCCTTCCTTTTTTAAGTTCTGTACTGTAAATTTTGTTTTGTTTCATGAAGCATATAAACTGAGTAGATGAGTTGGGAACACATATCCTTGGAACCCTTCCTCTCTGCCTTGACTCACAGATATTTAGATTTAGCTTCAAGGGTGATTGTCCTTGGATGCTGTTATCCCCAAGTGGTACCAGTTTTGTTGAGCTCAGCTATTTGGGAAACATTAATCCTGTCCTTCCCCCCCCCCCGCAAAAAAAAAAAAAAAAAAAAAAAAAAAAAAACCAACACTATTGAATAAGCAAACAGTAGGACAAATTCAAATATTTGATATACTTAGTCATCTCTCTGCAGTAATCAAGGCTGCAAAACTAGAAATTCACATGTAATAAGTAATCAGTGAATCCAGTAACTGGTTACTCAACAAAAATGCTACTCCAAGGATTGTTGTAGCATTGCAAAGGACAGGAATGTTACATTATGGGCATAGACTGTTTGTGGCTACAGCTAAGTGTCTGTTACAATGAATGTTGTCTTGGAAAATATCTTCTGGTTGTTATTGTGCACCTTTCTTCATGCATGAGCTCTCAATTCATTTTGCTAATAGGAAAAATAGTTTTATTTAGCAAGCAGTCCCTGAAGTCTCAAAAATACATTTATTGCAAGAACTGTTATGCTGTGGGTACAAAAGGTGCCTGAAAACATAGCTTATTTTATCTCCTGGGTAACTGCTTGGTGCAAAATACTAACCCAAGGAAATCACAACATGGGACAGTTGAACTATTCCCTGTATACTTCTCATTTTGTTCTTTCTGGTTCCTTTGGTTTAGGGAAATGTAAACATTGTGTTTTTTCTGAGCACAGTATAAACATTTCTTTGCATCATCAATGAAAGCTTAAAGGTAATACTATAACTTTCTTCTGCCCTTCAAATTTTATGTATTTATTTGATGGCATGCAGTCAACTGCTCTTTTGCATCATAGACTTTGGTTCATTTTATGTCAGCAGTAGAAGAAAGGAGATAAGGTAGTTGTTGCCAACTAGTTTATGTATGACCACCAAGAACCTTAATATATCAATCTTCTTGCAATTCTTTGTTTTCCTCAGCTTTCATTTTGAGCTTGTCTTTTGAATCTTGACTAAGATGGAAAGGGAAATTTAACAAATTAAACTCAGCTTCATGTGACAATCATCTGTAAACTTCAGTTAGAAACTATATAGGTCTGAACACATTTTAGCAAACTTGGTCTGGGTAGTTAACAGTTCAAAGCACATTAACTTGATTTGGCCTCAGGTATGAGGGTGTAGTAATTGTGTAAATTTATTTTCTAATAAACACCAGTTAACTGCTGCTGATTACATCTTAACTAATGTTATAGTGCCTTGTCATAGGTGTCAACCTAGGCATGGTGAATTTTAAAGTTTAAAATCTGGCAGTCTTAGGTACAAGTACCTCCTGAGGGGATTTTTTTTCTGAGAAAGGAATGATTCTTCTCTGTTACAAGTACTAACACATCTAAGATAGTGTTTTGATTTACAAAATAATTAATTTACATTTTCTTTTTCATTTAAAAAAAGTAATTTTTTTTAGCTATGAATTTGTATTGTAATGTAGAGATACAATCTTTGTTTTGACTATTTGCCACAATCCCAGTGAATGTTTTGGAACATGATGAGCACACCTGCTCTCTCTTTGATGAACCTTGGTAACTAAGAGAGCAGGCATGCATTCATCAGCAGAAAAAAGAAAGGTCTAACTGGTCCTTGCTGTGTATGCTCCAGTTTGGAATGTCAACATTGTTCTTTTCACACGGACTTGTGCAAGTACTTGTGGTACTCTAACTGCTAAGTACAAAGATGCTGATGTTTGTTCGTATTTGCAAATAATTCTTAAAATGTGAATTTTCACAAGAGTTGATGATAGCATGACATTTTATTTATAAATATTTATGTAAGCATTTTGGGCTCTTGAATGTCTTCTGTCTACACCTGTGATTTATACACCTATTAAAGTGAAGTACTAATGTCGAAATGGGTACATCTAATTCTAAATCTCTTTGAAGTGGTAACGTTTTTAAAACTTTATAATTTGTTTCCGCTAGAAGCATGTGTTTTAGATACTGCCCTGAACAGGAGAATTTCACAAAATCATGGATTTAATGAGGTCATCCTGACTTACTTGCTATGTTATGGTATCTTATGTTCTTGTAATCCCCTTACCAATTCATTCATTCTGAAAGTCTAGAAATGACTTTTCAGATACAAAGCTAATAAAGTTAAGTTAATTTGTAGTTTGAGGGATGGTCAAGTAAAGAGGAAGTATGTGTCCAAAAGATGGTATTAAATCTCTCAATCATTGCTTTGAAGAGGTTTCCTAATAAGTCCTTTCTGTAAGGAATTCTTAAATTCCTTAACTCATTTAAACTCCTTGCTCATAGAAAGCTCAAAACCAATCTCCTTTAATGTGGACTGCAGATGTTAATAATAAATCCAGGTGCATTATTTCCTTTAAAAGAAATCAGTGAAGAAAACAAAGCCATTCTAACAGTTAGTTATGGAGCATTTACAGCAGCTGTGTATAATGCCATCTGTCTTAAACATGATTAACAGTCTCTCTGGTTATAATTACAGCATATCTATTTCTAGGAGAAATCTTCCTTTAGCCAGGTTAGTAAAACCTATGATTTTGGTGCAGTAACTGAAAAAAGTATTCACAAAGCACTCTGTGAACACTTTGGCAGTACTACTCCCCATTATATCCACCGGTACCCATTTTGACAGACCAGTCGCTTTATTCCCATATGAATTGTGAGATAGGTTTTTTCATGCTTTGTTTGTGAGAGTTTTAGACTTATTAATGCTAAGTTTAAATGTTCAAGATGCTCTTGGAAACAGCTTTCTGCTTTATGCCACAAGGTTTTCATCAAACTTCCTGAGGTAAACCTGTTGCTGTTCAATATTTTGCTGTCTTCTGCTGTGGAACCAGTTACCTTGATGGTGAAGTTTTGGCTTTGTGTAGTG